CCTAGCATGTGCAAGGGAAAATTAAAAATAAGCCTCGTTTTGTTGCATTATTGTGCGAATACTGATTGTCAATGATTATCGCAGCATCAGTACAGCACCTGCAGGTTTAAGATTCACCCCCCTTATTTTTTGTATTTCTCATTTGTTGGCATTGACAGTTCACATATAGAATGCAAAGACATGCACGATAATAAAAAGAGATTTCCTGACCTAGCATATGCAAGGGAAAATCAAAAATAAGCCTCGGTTTGTTGCATTATTGTGCGAATACTGATTGTCCATGATTATCGCAGCATCTGTAAACCACCAGCATGCATGTTTAAGATTCACCCCCCTTATTTTTTGTATTTCTCATTTGTTGGCATTGACAGTTCACATATAGAATGCAAAGACATGCACGATAATAAAAAGAGCTTTCCTGACCTAGCATATGCAAGGGAAAATCAAAAATAAGCCTCGGTTTGTTGCATTATTGTGCGAATACTGATTGTCCATGATTATCGCAGCATCTGCACACCACCAGCATGCATGTTTAAGATTCACCCCCCTTATATTTTGTATTTCTCATTTGTTGGCATTGACACTTCACATATCAAATGCAAAGACATGTACGATAATAAAGATAGCTTTCCTGTCCTAGTATTTGCAAGGAAAAATTCAAAAAAGGCATATGAAGGCTACGTTAATGCGCGAATACAGAATGTTCATGTTCAGCATCCGTATAGCATCGACATGTTGAAGATCCACCCCCCCCCCCCTTATTTTTTTGATGTCGCATTTGTTGGCATTGACATTTACACATGAAATGTAAAGACATAAAACAGCCGTCCTGACCTAGCATATACAAGGAAAAATTCAAAAAAGATCTCTGATTGCTGTTATGGTGCATAAAAGTTGTCAGCGTCACTAAACATAGGACATTTTCTAATTCCCCCCCCCCCCCCTCCTCCCCCTTATTGTGCTTCAATTCTTTGTTCTACCCAATTTGATGTTTCTAGTGGTCAATTCATTAGAAATGAGTGGAGACTAAGCCTACTACTTAGGCCAAAGCTAAGTAGGCCTAGCAGAAACTCACGCCGTTCCGATTGAGTACATGTAACAGAGTGACACCTGAAATCAGAGTAATCACGTGATCGGAATATTTTACCTCGCCACTAAAATCCCAGGTGGACCTAGCAGTCCCACATTACTTTGCGGTGCCTTAGGCATGATCGATGCAAACTTATTCACAACCTTTTAACCCACTAAATCGGAGCAGTGTATTTATCCGGATAATACGCGTAGATAGAAACTGCCCATTCCCTGGTACTATATGCTATTTTCCGGAAAACAAATGAAACGGATAATTTCATTAAAACTAATAGAAACATGCTGTTTGTGTTCCTTCTTGCTATCACAATCTCCTCTTTCTTTTATCGTGTCTTCATTTCCTTCTCAATTGTCATTGTCCCTCATATTGCATTCTCTATCTCAAATGTCACTTTTCCTCATATTGTTTTCCTCAGAAAATTCATGCAAAGGACCTGGAAAATCTGCAGAAATAAACCCTAGGACTACTCTGACCAACGGAGGTTGGTGGTTTGGCAGTTGAAGGCTTAAGAAACTTGCTGACCATCCTGGGTACAACCCCAACAGTCAATGCCTCTAGCTTCGACAGGCACATAGCCACTTTTAAATCGATATCTCAAGAGGTTAGCCACCAGCCTGGTATTCATTACATTTTTGTTTTTTTCCCAAATTTACTCTAAAATAGTATGCTTAAGTTGTGGTCAATAGACAGTAAAGAACATGTTCATCAATTTCTCTTCTTGTCATAATGGTTGAAATGCCTGAGTGAACTTTAAATGAACTTGTATTTATTACATAATCTTGTTCTTTTGTAACTTTGCAGACCAGCGAGGAACACATGAAGAGGGCGGCGGTATGCCTACAACAAAGGGCAATGGACAAGGACCCGACCATCAGGTAAAATGACCGTGTGGACATCACCTCTACTACCAACCTATCTGTTCTTCTTTACTACTTCTACTACCTCCACTACCACACTATCCGTTCTCCCTTGCTCCCCTTCCTCTTCCATTCTCACCAGATCTGTCAATCATTAAATATCTTAATATTTCTTACCCTCCCTCATCTGTCTTTCTTTCTCTCTCCTGAATGGACAATGCTCTTCCCTACTTCTATTACTACCTCTACTACCACCCTACCTGCTCTTCCTTACTACTTCTACTACCTCTACTACCACCCTACCCATTCTCCCTCACTCCCCTCCCTCTTTCATTCTCGCCGGATCTGTCAATCATTAAATATCTTAATATTTCTTACCCTCCCTCATCTGTCTTTCTTTCTCTCTCCTGAATGGACAATGCTCTTCCTTACTTTTATTACTACCTCTGCTACCACCCTACCTGCTCTTCCTTACTACTTCTACTTCCACTTTCCCTCATCATGTTCCCTCTTTCTATAACCATCTCCACGTTCTCTGTCTTTATTATCACCCTCCCCCTTTCTATTGCATTCTCTATCTCAACTGCCACTTTCCATCATATTGGTTTCACTCACTATCTCAATTTTAACTTTCCCTGTGTTTTTGTTCTCTCTCTCTCTCTCTCTCTCTCAAGTGCATTTCATCTCATATTTCATACTACCCTACCTGCTCTTCCTTACTACTTCTACTTCCACTTCCACTTTCCCTCATCATGTTCCCTCTTTCTATCTCCATCCCCACTTTCTCTGTCTTTATTATCATTTCCCCCCTTTTATTGCATTCTCTATCTCAACTGCCACTTTCCATCATATTAGTTTCACTCACTATCTCAATTTTAACTTTCCCTGTGTTTTTGTTCTCTCTCTCTCTCTCTCTCTCTCAAGTGCATTTTATCTCATATTTCATACTGTGAAATTGAAATTAAGGACTGGAATTACAAGCAATGATGTGAAACGTTCGTTACGGTGTAAGAAAATACATTTAATCTTTTGCATTCCTAAAGTGCAAATTCTTTTAAATATATATGACACAAACTGCTATTATTAATTAACTTTAATATATAGCTTCATGTGTGTTGTAAACTCTTTTTTATTTTACTTGGGTGGGTTCGAGTCCCGCGAAGCTGTTTATAACACGAGAGCTTTCATGGTGCCAGTACAATATAATTGGGTTATATACACATCCCCTTATACAATATACACACACACACTCGTCAGCCTCATCGGGTATAGGGCTAATACTTATGCACTGTAATTTAAAATTATACATTTTTTAAAGCTTCCAATAGAAGTACAGATTTCCTCATAGTTTAAGGTAAATCGTTCCAAAGCTTAGGACCGGTAAAACGGGTATTCTTTTTAAAAATATGTTAATAGTGTACAGGAATATATATTTAATATAATACACATAAGGAAAATCGAGCATATGACAGTGCGGCATGTCACTAATCGAAATACAGCCCATGTTATGCATATAACTGTTTCATGAAACAATACAAAAGTTCAAAAATGCCATAACTCAATCATTTTTACGTCCAATGTAGATAATTATGATTTTTTGATTTGACTCAACTCATATTTAGTTCGGACATAATACAAAACTATCTCCTATGTCCTGCTCAAAGTGTTTTATTAATGACAATTGAAGGTTTTTATTGATACAATTGTACCTTCATATTCATAAAAAGCATATCATAATCATGTAAAAAGTAAAAGAACAAGAATAGAAAGAAGAATCACGAAAACTACTTTAACAAAACATTCAGACTTACTGACAAGTGTGCACTGCCATTTCTTAAACATTTCATTAGAATATCAACAGCTGGATAGAAAAAGGTGACATGCCTTGCATAGGCGTTGTGAGGGATATTACATTAAGAAAGCAACTGAGAAAAAAGAAAGATGAATGAAATAGTTGATGATCTACATAGACGTAGATTTTGTTTGAGCTTTTATTGCATTGCGGACTCTGTCCCTCACTTGGAGAAATGATCGGTTAGAGAGGCAACGTGCTACTTTTTTATTTTGTTTAACTATGTCCCTCACCACGCCTATGCGAGGCATGTCACCCTTTTCTATCCAGCTCTGGAAAAGCTTCTGGACTGCCTCCTTCTCTTCCTGGGTGAATTTTACCCTCGCCGCTTGATCGCTGGTACTGCAGAACTATCATGGAGAAAGAGAGGAGAGGGGGATGAAAGACATCAAGAAATGAATTGTGAAACAATTTGACCCATAATAACAGAGTTGCACATTTAAAAAATAACACCAATAAGCAAGTATTTCAGACAATTCAGCAAATTATTGTATAGATGTCTAACACTATTCCATCACAGTTTTAAAATGACATTGATGAAATTCTGAACAAGTCTAACATTACCCGTCAAAGAAAGGAGCTAAAAGGGCTGCAATTGCCATTTAAATGCGTTACATACCAGGGATGATTATCCAGCTGACACACTAACGGATGATGTGTCTGGTAGTAGCGGGATTGGATGCTCATTATGTTGGGGTAGTTTTTTGCACTTCACCCTCAGTTTTTTGGTGCTGGTGGTCGAGCACTATTATGGAGAAAGAGAAGGGGGGGGGTGAAAGAAATAAAGAAAAGAATTGTGAATTGCACATTTAAAAAAAAGCATTAATAAGCAAATATTTCAAACAATTCAGCAAATTATTGTATAGATGTCTAACCCTATTCCATCACAATTTTGAAATGTCATCAATGAATCTTTAACCAAGTCTGAAAATACCGTCAAGGAAAGCAACTAAAAGGTCTGCAATTGTCATTTAAATGTGTTTCATAGAATAGAATAGAATTTATTGACTCATTCGACCCCCTTCTGGGGTATGAGAGTACAACACATGTACATATCATGATAATGATACATAATAAAGAATACAAACATAGCTTAATAATACAAAGAATACAGAATACAACAAAACAACAATATAAATAGTGTAACGCCCCTATCAGGGAAGGGGAGCTAGAATAATAAAATGAAGAGAAGAAAACAGTTACTTGTGGTGTAATTGGTATCAGCATGTAGAATGACTTTTATTACTCTTAATACCATCGCAATAAGCAAGAATATTCATGAATAAGAGTAATCAAATATCAACGGCGATCATGAACACATGTTCATGCTTCAGTTTTATACATTAAAACTATATCACATCGATCTGCAATAGCCAGATCTTCTCTCGTAACAAAACCTAATCTAACTTCTAACTAAGTATATAAACAGCTTACAATAATATAGTTTTAGTTAATTCTAACTAAACTTTCGTGGCTTAAATACCACAGGTAAAATATAAGGTTGAATTCCATTTCTAACAAATTCAATTAATAGTTAACTTAGTATCCCATCTTTGAATACACGTGTTGCAATTCTGGTAACTATATGATGCACTCATATATCTGTTCATCTATTAAAAGTTTAGTATAGAATATATTCTACTATATATAATCCTTTCGTTTTAAGAACCAAGCAATTCCAAATTACTGGTGCATCCGCAACATAATAAGTCAAGATAAAACTATACATTCTACAAATATACAACTACATGTATAACAGTTTTACGTTGTCTCAAAACCCACAAGGACAATTAAATACATGTAATGATTGTATAAATCATCTGAAAATAAACTTAAGATTTAATAAACGAATATATGCATGAGCTTTAGAGAAACTGATTTCTACCAAACTGGTGAGATAAAGCATCTTGCCGAAACTTCTGCTGGGTTTGCCTAATTCTCAATTATTCTACAATTCAGACCACTGAAGTTGCCTTCTCTAACATAACTAATAAATTACTAAGCTCATTGCTCTATTGTAGTATCATGGTTACAAAATACACATGTACAATATAATAATATATAATCAAACTCATTAAATGTGTGCTTCGATTATTAATCAATCAATAACTGCACTATTATATAATATAACAAACTACATCTTTTAAATGGGTCTGCGCCTAATTAGACTTCTATCGCTGGTGGAGGAGAGAAACTCTATTTACCAAACTGTTTAGATGTAGCTTATCAGAGAGGCGACTAAATCCCTCTCTTATAACAAAGGTCCTATTCACATCTAATCTATACACAACTTGGGTACCATGTTTACACTTCACGACAGTAAGTCTATGCAAGTGGCTACAATATACAGGCTTGCATATATGTTAACCCACTAGCTGTGAAATGGGTATATATATCCACATACACTACCATTTCATGAGACGTTCATTCACATCATACAAATCATCCTATTCTTCTACTGATTCTATACCTTCTAACGCATGATAATAAAACATTGAAATAGTACACACTTATATGTACTTGCAAAACTCATTAATTCATTATACTGTTTAGTAACAATATCCTGGCGATATATATATATATCTGAACACAAAAGTACATCAGCATTAGAGTACTCGCTGAACTAAGTTTAGTGCACCATCACAGTCACAAAGCTATCTTCATATTTCATCCCTAAAAGTCCATATATTCCTGATATGGAATATATTAATATTAAGAGGGTGATACATGACATTAATGATAACAATTACATATACAGTTAATAATAAGATATAAAATATAAATGAGAATAAGCTTACCTAGAATAATAAAATGAAGAGAAGAAAACAGTTACTTGTGGTGTAATTGGTGTCAGCATTTGGAATGACACATGGCATCACCAGCACTCTGTTCCTTTGTTTCTCCTCATCAATTAAGATGTCTAGGACTCTTTTGGCCAACTATATATTCGATTATAAGTCACTGATTTAGGAGTGAATTATAATTAACAAAAAATTTGAAGGGGGGGGGGGGGCATAATTTATCCAAAACAATCAAATCGGTTGGGCCTGATCACAATAGGAATGATCTAAACCTAGCCTATGCTAAACATAAATACAATATTATACAATATGGCAAGCATACCAGGGATGAAGATCCTGTGGACAAACCGATGGTGGGCGTGGCAGTTGCAGGACTGGGTGCTCCTTATTTCAAACAGATCTATACCGTGGTCACTTAGGTTATTGTTACAAAGAAATTAAAAGCCTTGTTCTAAACTGGATCCAGAACAACAATTCTAAATTGTCCTCTTATGTCTCTAAACAAGTGCCTTATACTCAATTAGTTTATCTTTGAGTTCTCTGCCAATTCTGAGGAGATGTCCTCTTTACTTTCAACATTTGTATCTGTATCAGAAATGTGCACGTTGAATGCTATAGAACCAAATGATATTGTACTGGCACCATGAAAGCTCTTGTGCTAAAAACAGCTTCGCGGGATTCGAACCCACCCAAGTACAAAACAAAAAGATTTTACAGCATACATGTACATGTAGCTATTCAAGTTCAGTAATCATATCACTTTGTGTCATATGTATGAAACATAAGAGGAGATGATAGAAGGACAATAAAGAATAATGAGAGGAGAGATAGAAGAAAAACAATGAATAACATAAGAGAAGATGATCAATAGAAGGAAAATATAGAATATTAAGAGGAAAGAGAGAAGAAAAACAATGAATAACATAAGAGAAGATGATCAATAGAAGGAAACTACAGAATAATAAGAGGAAAGAGAGAAGAAAAACAATGAATAACATAAGAGAAGATGATCAATAGAAGGAAACTACAGAATAATAAGAGGAAAGAGAGAAGAAAAACAATGAATAACATAAGAGAAAATGATCGAAAGTATTATAGTTTAAGATGGCCTCAGAAAGATTGTACAATAGAATAGTAGTGTACAAAACCGGTTTCTATGAGAGTATGTACATTGCATACAGCTTCTTGTAAGTATAGTGGCCTTGGAGGCCTGTTGCCATGACCACCTTTAATGGAATGTGGGGTTAATTGAATGGGTCAAATAGCTCACTGTGAGAATTGGCACTAACAGTATATTAGCATGTGTGGCTACAAAACCTCAGAAGTCGCAAATGAAGACTCGTTTTGAAATGCTCGTAGCTCCGTTATAAAATGAGATTTTCAAATGATTGTTTTTGTTTTGAAGAGTTAAAAGTTAAAATCACGGAAATATCATCTTTATTTTTTCAAAAAAGTGGGAAAAAATTATAAAAATCAGTAGTTAGAACGATGACTTTTTTTTGGAAATTTGAAGTTTTGATTTTCGTCTTAAATTCCACAATTTTTTCCGAAGGCCCCAAAAGTAGCTAAAAATTATGAAAGGAAATTTATTAAGCTTTAAAAATATGGTAAAATAGTAACTTGAGGACTTTTAGATGGGTCAGCAGCCAGCTAAATACATACCGATGTCGATTAACTTTTGGAGTGGAAGTTGCTCGCATCGTTCGTAAGCTCGGACCCTCTGTCCGTACAAAATGGCGAGATTTTACATTTTGAAATCTTCGTATTTGCCCACAAAACGTCCTCTTATCCTTACAATAAGGATAGACTCCCCTTAAATTAGTATGGATACGATCACTTCTTAATACTCTTTAATTATATTTACACATGTGCGATAATAAGTCGTCATTCCTTGTTCCTAAATATACATCGGTCCCATGTGTCCAGTTTCGTGTATGTATTACCTCTGCCCATTGTTCGACGTCAACCTACACGTCGCTCATATATAACCCTATAAGAAATGTATAAACAAATGAAGCAATTAATTATAATTGAAATATTAGCAAGTGTAATTGATGGAGCACATGTTGAGGTCGATGTAGTTGATGGACACCTTATACTAAGATTTTCTATAGAATTAACATATCGCAGTGGCTAGTATATTAAAGTCGTTAAAAAAACCCCATAAAATTAGAACAAAAAATGGCGTCAAACTAAATTGTGTATCTTATCAAGTGCACCGGAAGGCAGAACTTTAACAACGAGGGGCCGTTACTCAAAACCATCACTAAGTTTAGTTTGTAGACATCCTTGAGAAACGAATGTTAATTCTGTATCATACATTTCAATAGGACGTCCACGAAGTTGGAGTTAATGACGGTTTTGCGTAATCATCCAATTGAAACGGCTAAATACTTGGCAAGGGAGATCGCCCTTTCAAGTTTTTCTGCTGGAAACAAAACATATCGCAGGGCCTTTTTGTCGAAAAAACATAACTGTCAAAAATAAATGGGTCAATCTAAATTTTGTATCATACCAAATGCACCACACATTGAAAAGTATCATTTGTTTCAAGTTGAACACCTAATGAAGGGTGTTCAGCTTGAAACAAATGAGATTAGTCAAGCAATTTAATGTTTGCTACGTGGATGGACACCGTAAACAATGATATTCAAGTGTACTTAACATATCGCAGGGGCTTTTTGTCGATAAAAAACAAAACGTAAGAAAATAAATGGGGTCAATCTAAATTTTTTATCATACCAAATGCATCACTTTTCTTCACCAGATAACAGCCGAATGCTAGGCCAGGAGTTGTGGAGCAAATTGCCATAGGTTTTCCACTCAAAACAAATGAGATTTTTCAATCAATTTCATCTTTGCCAAGTGGATGGATACCGTAAACAAAAACTTTCATTTGTACTCAACATATTGAAGTGGCTCTTTTTGGATAAAAAGTATGAAATAAGAAAATAAGTGGGGTCAATCTAAATTGCTTACCATGTCATTGCACGTCATTGCATACCAGAAAACAGCCGAATACCAGGCCAGTACTTCAGGCGGAAAAGTGCCTCGGTCAAATGAGATTTGTCAAGCAATTTAATGTTTGCTACGTGGATGGACAACGTAAACAATGATATTCAAGTGTACTTAACATATCGCGGGGGCTTTTTGTCGATAAAAAACAAAACGTAAGAAAATAAATGGGGTCAATCTAAATTTTGTATCATACCAAATGCATCACTTTTCTTCACCAGATAACAGCCGAATGCTAGGCCAGGAGTTGTGGAGCAAATTGCCATAGGTTTTCCACTCAAAACAAATGAGATTTTTCAATCAATTTCATCTTTGCCAAGTGGATGGATACCATAAACAAAAACTTTCATTTGTACTCAACATATTGAAGTGGCTCTTTTTGGATAAAAAGTATGAAATAAGAAAATAAGTGGGGTCAATCTAAATTGCTTACCATGTCATTGCACGTCATTGTATACCAGAAAACAGCCGAATACCAGGCCAGTACTTCAGGCGGAAAAGTGCCTCGGTCAAATGCCCTGTCAGTGGTGGTCAGGAACAAAGCTAGCTATTTAACGGTGATGGCACAGATCGGCAACAGCACCCTGAATTTTTTTGAATCGGTTTTCGTAGTAAATCGACAAAAATGCTGATATTTTGTTATTCAAAATACAAAATCGAATATGCAAACACTTATAGATTGATGAATCTATAAGGAATTGATATCTTTCATTCATGAAGAACAAAACGATTGCAATTCTAAGATAAAAGGGATTAAAGTGAAAGAAAAAGGTCCTAAATCAGACAAGTTTCGGTAAATTTTACCCAAAAAAAACATTGGACACTAAAAACCGTCATATTTCACTAAAAACTAATTATTTTCAAACAAAACGTAAGTAAATGGTAAAATGGAAGTTAAATATCGTTTCTTACCTGTAAAAACCAATGGGCAGCCCATAACTTTGAAGGAAATCTACTTTTAAGAGGAGTAAAATGAAAAGAAGCCAACATGTAAGTTTTAGGGTAGCATGTAGCTTTACGGGCGCCGAGCTGTAGATAATAGGACGCCATCTGTGGCTTTTCAGACGCCATTGTAGAAACTCAGACGCCAATTGTAGGTTTTCAGATGCCACTGTAGATACTCAGACGCCAATTGTATATTTTTAGAAGCCATGTATTTTCTCGGGCGCCAAGAGGTAGTACAAAAATAACCCTAACCCTAACCCTAACCCTAACCCTAACCCTAACCCTAACCCTAACCCTAACCCTAACCCTAACCCTAACCCTAACCCTAACCCTAACCCTAACCCTAACCCTAACCCTAACCCTAACCCTAACCCTAACCCTAACCCTAACCCTAACCCTAACCCTACCCTAACCCTAACCCTAACCCTAACCCTAACCCTAACCCTAACCCTAACCCTAACCCTAACCCTAACCCTAACCCTAACCCTAACCCTAACCCTAACCCTAACCCTAACCCTAACCCTAACCCTAACCCTAACCCTAACCCTAACCCTAACCCTAACCCTAACCCTAACCCTAACCCTAACCCTAACCCTAACCCTAACCCTAACCCTAACCCTAACCCTAACCCTAACCCTAACCCTAACCCTAACCCTAACCCTAACCCTAACCCTAACCCTAACCCTAACCCTAACCCTAACCCTAACCCTAACCCTAACCCTAACCCTAACCCTAACCCTAACCCTAACCCTAACCCTAACCCTAACCCTAACCCTAACCCTAACCCTAACCCTAACCCTAACCCTAACCCTAACCCTAACCCTAACCCTAACCCTAACCCTAACCCTAACCCTAACCCTAACCCTAACCCTAACCCTAAACCCTAACCCTAACCCTAACCCTAACCCTAACCCTAACCCTAACCCTAACCCTAACCCTAACCCTAACCCTAACCCTAACCCTAACCCTAACCCTAACCCTAACCCTAACCCTAACCCTAACCCTAACCCTAACCCTAACCCTAACCCTAACCCTAACCCTAACCCTAACCCTAACCCTAACCCTAACCCTAACCCTAACCCTAACCCTAACCCTAACCCTAATTAGATTCATAGAATCAGTCTTTTTTTTTATAATTGCTTCTAATTTAGTTATTCTTGGTCGATTTCCTTCGGGTTTTTTATGGTGGACTCTTAGATAGTTGGGCTTTCATCTAACATGAGTATCGCGGCGGAATAATGCTCGTCCGGTAATTAAATTGACCTTGAACTCTAAAGGTGCCTCGGTGTAACTTTTGGGGGCCGGTGTATGTCCTACACACTGTTTTGGAAAATGTCATTAGCTCACTCAATTCTTCATCGATTTTGTTCATTTTTTTTTAAATGAAAGCTATTTAGTTGCTTAATCTTCACAGATCCGCTTTTTAAATTTCAAATATGGAAAAGTGTTGAAAATGGTACTTTAGTAAAATGTACTTACCCTTTGGTACCTTTGCTGGTTCATAGGGTTCAATACCCCTATTAAACTCAAGGATTTTGCTAGATAGCGGTTGGGGCCACTAACTCCTAAGCCCTGATGGTTTTTTTCTTTAAACTAGCACTTTAAAAAATGATTTATTCATTTCTCCAAAAAATGAAGTAAAACTGAGTTTAACAATTGACTAGATGAATTTTTGTTTGAGGTGATGAAAAGGTCAGACTAATCGAGGCCCTTATAAATTTAAATAAAATATGCACTGCTTAGTGCATCTTATCATGAGCATATCCTGAAAAAATTAGCAAAATTGGTTAATTATTTAATTAATTACAAGCAATTTAAAAAAAAAAGTTTAGGACGGTATTTCTCGAAATTCGCTTTTTTGCAAATTTTCAATTAGTCTTTTGGGGCTGAAATTTGAAGATATGACTTGGGGGCTGCTTTAATTTTAACATTTTAACCCTTTTTAACATTAAATATTCATTCGTTTCTTATTTTTTAATCATAAAACCAAAATATTAGCAAACAAAAATATCCCCCGAAATACGAAAAATCTAATATTCACCATAGGTTTGTACAGTGTAGGCCAAAAAATAGGTGCTCTACAAAAGTTCTTTAAAAAAACATTTTTACATTGAAGCCACAGAATATACCATACTCAAATTGATCTTTGATAATCCAGGCCTACTTTCCTGCAATTGGTTTTTTATTAATTGTTATGCTTTTTCCTTAAAAAGTGATACAAAAATTAATTTTTCCCATCAATTCCCGCCATTGGTACTTTTCTCACGTAGAGGGAGCTTCACACAATAACAAACGAATCAAAGTAACAGTAGAAACTAAACAAACAAAAGTAGATTCATTCCAGCGGGCAGTCAGCTCTTATTATTCATTTAAATGGTGAGTTTTTAAATGTATTGTGCCCTATATTTATCTGACTGTCCATTTATACTAATTTAGACTTTAATCAATCCACTTTCTCTCGATAGGTCATGAAATTGTACACAACTTTGTGAGATATGCAACTTTGCGTGAACAACAAGCACTCCCCCCTAAACACAGGTAGGCTGTCGGCCGAAACTCCAGGCCTGGCATTAGGCCTCTGCCTGGTATGACTCTGACTGTGAAGCATATAGATCTTATATCAATTAGTCTACTTGTTAGATGCCCAAAAGAATAATTGCATTAAGCCATAAGGTAAGTAGGACTACACTTTATTGTGTTATTGTGCTAATACTGAATGCCCATGATATCAAAGCTTCACGTACAGTATCGGCATGTTCTAACTTCTGCACATACAGAATGCAAAGACATGCACGATAATAAAGAGAGCTTTCCTGACCTAGCATGTGCAAGGGAAAATTAAAAATAAGCCTCGTTTTGTTGCATTATTGTGCGAATACTGATTGTCAATGATTATCGCAGCATCAGTACAGCACCTGCAGGTTTAAGATTCACCCCCCTTATTTTTTGTATTTCTCATTTGTTGGCATTGACAGTTCACATATAGAATGCAAAGACATGCACGATAATAAAAAGAGATTTCCTGACCTAGCATATGCAAGGGAAAATCAAAAATAAGCCTCGGTTTGTTGCATTATTGTGCGAATACTGATTGTCCATGATTATCGCAGCATCTGTAAACCACCAGCATGCATGTTTAAGATTCACCCCCCTTATTTTTTGTATTTCTCATTTGTTGGCATTGACAGTTCACATATAGAATGCAAAGACATGCACGATAATAAAAAGAGCTTTCCTGACCTAGCATATGCAAGGGAAAATCAAAAATAAGCCTCGGTTTGTTGCATTATTGTGCGAATACTGATTGTCCATGATTATCGCAGCATCTGCACACCACCAGCATGCATGTTTAAGATTCACCCCCCTTATATTTTGTATTTCTCATTTGTTGGCATTGACACTTCACATATCAAATGCAAAGACATGTACGATAATAAAGATAGCTTTCCTGTCCTAGTATTTGCAAGGAAAAATTCAAAAAAGGCATATGAAGGCTACGTTAATGCGCGAATACAGAATGTTCATGTTCAGCATCCGTATAGCATCGACATGTTGAAGATCCACCCCCCCCCCTTATTTTTTTGATGTCGCATTTGTTGGCATTGACATTTACACATGAAATGTAAAGACATAAAACAGCCGTCCTGACCTAGCATATACAAGGAAAAATTCAAAAAAGATCTCTGATTGCTGTTATGGTGCATAAAAGTTGTCAGCGTCACTAAACATAGGACATTTTCTAATTCCCCCCCCCCCCCTCCTCCCCCTTATTGTGCTTCAATTCTTTGTTCTACCCAATTTGATGTTTCTAGTGGTCAATTCATTAGAAATGAGTGGAGACTAAGCCTACTACTTAGGCCAAAGCTAAGTAGGCCTAGCAGAAACTCACGCCGTTCCGATTGAGTACATGTAACAGAGTGACACCTGAAATCAGAGTAATCACGTGATCGGAATATTTTACCTCGCCACTAAAATCCCAGGTGGACCTAGCAGTCCCACATTACTTTGCGGTGCCTTAGGCATGATCGATGCAAACTTATTCACAACCTTTTAACCCACTAAATCGGAGCAGTGTATTTATCCGGATAATACGCGTAGATAGAAACTGCCCATTCCCTGGTACTATATGCTATTTTCCGGAAAACAAATGAAACGGATAATTTCATTAAAACTAATAGAAACATGCTGTTTGTGTTCCTTCTTGCTATCACAATCTCCTCTTTCTTTTATCGTGTCTTCATTTCCTTCTCAATTGTCATTGTCCCTCATATTGCATTCTCTATCTCAAATGTCACTTTTCCTCATATTGTTTTCCTCAGAAAATTCATGCAAAGGACCTGGAAAATCTGCAGAAATAAACCCTAGGACTACTCTGACCAACGGAGGTTGGTGGTTTGGCAGTTGCAGGCTTAAGAAACTTGCTGACCATCCTGGGTACAACCCCAACAGTCAATGCCTCTAGCTACGACAGGCACATAGCCACTTTTAAATCGATATCTCAAGAGGTTAGCCACCAGCCTGGTATTCATTACATTTTTGTTTTTTTCCCAAATTTACTCTAAAATAGTATGATTAAGTTGTGGTCAATAGACAGTAAAGAACATGTTCATCAATTTCTCTTCTTGTCATAATGGTTGAAATGCCTCAGTGAACTTTAAATGAACTTGTATTTATTACATAATCTTGTTCTTTTGTAACTTTGCAGACCAGCGAGGAACACATGAAGAGGGCGGCGGTATGCCTACAACAAAGGGCAATGGACAAGGACCCGACCATCAGGTAAAATGACCGTGTGGACATCACCTCTACTACCAACCTATCTGTTCTTCTTTACTACTTCTACTACCTCCACTACCACACTATCCGTTCTCCCTTGCTCCCCTTCCTCTTCCATTCTCACCAGATCTGTCAATCATTAAATATCTTAATATTTCTCACCCCTCCCTCATTTTTCTTTTTTTCTCTCTCTCCTGAATGGACAATGCTCTTCCCTACTTCTATTACTACCTCTACTACCACCCTACCTGCTCTTCCTTACTACTTCTACTACCTCTACTACCACCCTACCCATTCTCCCTCACTCCCCTCCCTCTTTCATTCTCACCGGATCTGTCAATCATTAAATATCTTAATATTTCTTACCCTCCCTCATCTGTCTTTCTTTCTCTCTCCTGAATGGACAATGCTCTTCCTTACTTTTATTACTACCTCTGCTACCACCCTACCTGCTCTTCCTTACTACTTCTACTTCCACTTTCCCTCATCATGTTCCCTCTTTCTATAACCATCTCCACGTTCTCTGTCTTTATTATCACCCTCCCCCCTTTCTATTGCATTCTCTATCTCAACTGCCACTTTCCATCATATTGGTTTCACTCACTATCTCAATTTTAACTTTTCCTGTGTTTTTGTTCTCTCTCTCTCTCTCTCACTCTCAAGTGCATTTCATCTCATATTTCATACTACCCTACCTGCTCTTCCTTACTACTTCTACTTCCACTTCCACTTTCCCTCATCATGTTCCCTCTTTCTATCTCCATCCCCACTTTCTCTGTCTTTATTATCATTTCCTCCCTTTTATTGCATTCTCTATCTCAACTGCCACTTTCCATCATATTAGTTTCACTCACTATCTCAATTTTAACTTTCCATGTGTTTTTGTTCTCTCTCTCTCTCTCTCAAGTGCATTTTATCTCATATTTCATACTGTGAAATTGAAATTAAGGACTGAAATTACAAGCAATGATGTGAAACGTTCGTTACGGTGTAAGAAAATACATTTAATCTTTTGCATTCCTAAAGTGCAAATTCTTATATGACACAAACTGCTATTATTAATTAACTTTAATATATAGCTTCATGTGTGTTGTAAACTCTTTTTTATTTTACTTGGGTGGGTTCGAGTCCCGCGAAGCTGTTTATAACACGAGAGCTTTCATGGTGCCAGTACAATATAATTGGGTTATATACACATCCCCTTATACAATATACACACACACACTCGTCAGCCTCATCGGGTATAGGGCTAATACTTATGCACTGTAATTTAAAATTATACATTTTTTAAAGCTTCCAATAGAAGTACAGATTTCCTCATAGTTTCACGTAAATCGTTCCAAAGCTTAGGACCGGTAAAACGGGTATTCTTTTGAAAAATATGTTAATAGTGTACAGGAATATATATTTAATATAATACACATAAGGAAAATCGAGCATATGACAGTGCGGCATGTCACTAATTGAAATACAGCCCATGTTATGCATATAACTGTTTCATGAAACAATACAAAAGTTCAAAAATGCCATAACTCAATCATTTTTACGTCCAATGTAGATAATTATGATTTTTTGATTTGACTCAACTCATATTTAGTTCGGACATAATACAAAACTATCTCCTATGTCCTGCTCAAAGTGTTTTATTAATGACAATTGAAGGTTTTTATTGATACAATTGTACCTTCATATTCATAAAAAGCATATCATAATCATCATGTAAAAAGTAAAAGAACAAGAATAGAAAGAAGAATCACAAAAACTACTTTTACAAAACATTCAGACTTACTGACAAGTGTGCACTGCCATTTCTTAAACATTTCATTAGACTATCAACAGCTGGATAGAAAAAGGCGACATGCCTTGCATAGGCGTTGAGAGGGATATTACATTAAGAAAGCAACTGAGAAAAAAGAAAGATGAATGAAATAGTTGATGATCTACATAGACGTAGATTTTGTTTGAGCTTTGATTGCGTTGCGGACTCTGTCCCTCACTTGGAGAAAAGAGCGGTTAGAGAGGCAACGTGCTAGTTTTTTATTTTGTTTGACTATGTCCCTCACCACGCCTATGCGAGGCATGTCACCCTTTTCTATCCAGCTCTCGAAAAGCTTCTGGACTGCCTCCTTCTCTTCCTGGGTGAACTTCACCCTCGCCGTTTGAT